GGCGGTGACAATACTTATTGAAAAGAAAACTATGGAATGCGTTTACTGCCACGAACAGATGGAACCTTGCGCCTGGTTTTTATATCTGTAACCGATAGGATGAAATATTATATTAACTCCTTGTGACAACGTGTGCATTTTGCTTCAACGACGAAAAATATTCTAAGTTCGAATTTAGTACGGCGATTTCCGGACTTCGTCGGGCACCTCCTGACTTCAGCCGGACCAGGTATGGTGACCTGACTACTGCCGGATTAGGTCTGGGACCTCCTGACAACTGCCGGACTAGGTCGGGGACTACCCCGACGTTAGCCAGACCAGGTCGGGCACCTCCCTGACGATAGCCGCACTTGGTCGGGCACTGTCCGGACCAAACCCAGCCTTCGTCAGACGCGCCCTGACTACACCCGTACCATTCCCGGTCTGGATCCGTACCAAATCCGTACTTTCATTTTTACAAGGGCGCCGCCGTAACGCGCGGGCCGCGAGCCCTCCGCGGGGCTCCGCGGGGCGTGGCGCATAAATGTTTCAGTTATAGGTGGGAAAACACTTTTTATGCCTACATTGTTATGGGCATGTTTGACAGCAGCAACTTATGAAAATAAAGTAGCGCCCCTTTTATTTAGCACTTGCCTTTTGAAGCGCGCCTCGCGTTTTATTGCGGGGCATCTGGCGTGCGATTCGGGCGATTCGGGCCCCGGGCGCCGCCGTGGGGCCAGCGTGGGGCCTCGCCGTGGGGCATCACCGCGCTGTGGACGCGGCCACGCGCAGCGTGCGTCCCGCAGAGATGACGCTGTGTTGACTGAGCTGTCCCGGACATGCCCCCCAGTAGCATGATTCCGAGGGTCGTTTTCGTCGCTCTGTCTCTCGCGCACTCATGGGCCGTCCCGCGACGAAAGCGACGCCCGGAATCAGTCTGTCATTTACTTTCGGCCTGCAAAAAGAGTTGAAAGGGAGGGGGGGGGGGGGGGGTTGACTGGCATAGGTGGAGGAGGAAAGTTGGCGAACCGCTGAGTTGACTATCGCACATATGTGTGCGTACTCCGGGCGCTACAAGGCTTACGAGGTACTTAGACAACACGGTGAGCCCGTGTGCGAGCGAGCGTGCGTGTGTGTGCGTGAATGCGTGCGTGCGTGTGAAAGTGTCGGGGCCGGGCTTCGTCTTGTCCGTAATCGGCGTAATTGTTTTAAAGAGGTCTTGTAATGCCCGCACAGTGCTCGCAGCACCTCTATCTCGACGCCGCGCAATTCTCGTTTGCTAATGACTATTTGAAGCAGACCGTTTCCGTTGCCAAGGCGACGGGGAGGGGAAAGAGGGGGAGAGGGAGGGTTAGCGATGTCCTCATCTGACTTCTGTACTAGTGCGGTTACTACCCGGGCCTTCCTCCACCGCCACACACACTACCTGGGCCCGGCCGTAGATCCTCACGGACGCAAACGCGGTGGTAATGGGTGCGACAAAACGATGCGCACCAAGCGATGAAGCACGAGGTGCGACCGTGGCGACGCGGGTCCAAGGACGTCCTGCCATCCGAGAGGCTCCTCGGCGGTCCATTAGAACCTTAGACTCCCCCGAATATTAAATGGTGAGTGGATGAGTGGGCACAACGCTGGGGCGCTTTTCGGACGGTCCCTGCTTCTCCGGGACGTGTTTGCACTGGCCGCGCGCCCTTGATGCGGTGACGAGGACGCCCCGCCCCGCCCCGCCCCGCCATTCCCAAACTTGGAGCCCCGCCGCACCGCAGCAGCGTGCAGAATATGTAAATTCTAATTAGTCGTAGCGCGCGACCCTACAACAGTAACAGCCTCCCCAGGCGGGGCGGGCCGCGCGGGCCGGCCGGCCTAATGCCCCGGACAAGTAAGAGCGGGCACAAAGATCTGGGGGACGCGGCCCACTTAATGAGGGAGGAATTCGTGCGCATCTAAAGCTAATTACACTTAATCTGTATGACCAGCACTTAGTGCCGCGATTCGCCGCCCTGGCGCCACCTCCGCCAGGCCACGCCAGGCGGGCCTCGCTTCGCTGGGTCCGCCCGCGTTGGACGAGCGAATGGACTTGCGCGGCAAAAACGGGCCTTTTCGAATCCGAGGGGTTACCCACTCGTTGTTTTAGTGTACACACGATTCCGGATTCCCGCGATTCCCAGAACATATCCCTGAGAAAAAGGGAGAACTTTCAAAACTTTGCTTTGTATTTGAATGTTTTGTGTGTATCACATGATTACCATGACTTTAAATTGAAACTATGAGGATTTTACTATGAGGATTTTCCATCAAATTTTAAAAGATTTACGAATGATTCCCGGACTGAGTGTACACATGATTCCCGGAGTGGGTAACCCCTCGTTCGAATCGCTCCTTCGCACGGCCGCTGTCGTTGCTTTGTCGCAGCGGCAGCCTCAAGGTCGCTCGGGGCCGCGAGGTGAGCCGGCCGCAATCCGACTTGCTGCAGTCTAGGCGCGAAGCGGCGACCTCGAACACAAGGCCGCCTTTTGGCCGCCATCCGGAGAGAGGGGCGAAATGATGCACACTGGTCCCTAACACCGAGATAATGGCTCGGCACGATCCGTCCTCGCTCTCTCTCTCTCTCTCTCTCTCTCTCTCTCTCTCTCTCTCTCTCTCTCTCTCTCTCTCTCTCTCTCTCTCACGCACTCTCCGTCATTCTCTCCCTCTCTGTTCGCCCAGTTAACGCCCACCAGGGCCGACCAGGGCCGGCGTGGCCACGGCGGCCACGGCGCAGCCAGGGCCGCGCTGAGCAGGGAAAAATTGGACTATTCCGGCCCGAATGAAGAGAAGGGGAGAGCGCCAGATGAAGGTAGATAGACGGAGTATAAAGTTGGGCGGCGCGTCAAAATCCGGGCGCCAATTCCTTCCCACCCCCACTCTTTTCCACCCTTCCTCTTTCTCCCACCTCTCGCGGTCGATCGACGTCTTTTGCATTTCCACCCAACCTTCGCAGCGCAGCCTAGCTCGGTCGATTTTTCAGGCATCACAAATCAAACTTGTCGGTTTTTCAATCATTTTCCCTCTCCTCCCCGTCCGTCCCCGCCCGGAGCGTCGCTGTTGTCTCGGCGAGAAAAAGCGCCATGAAAAACGAGTGCAATCCATCGCGCCAACTCCAGGAGGGAGCAGAGAGAAGCAATATAAACTCCTCCTTTAACATGCCAAAAACTAAGGGTCTTTATCGTCTTAAATGGCTCCGCGCATTAAACCGACATTCAGGGCCGGGGGCGTGGCGGGGCGTGGCGCGGCGGGGCGGGCCGTAGCGGCGGCAGCGGCGGCTAATATGGTCTCGACAATGGGGGGCACATTTTGCAGATGATGTTGGTACTAAGGCTGCTACTGCCGCAGCGCGGTGCCTGCCAGCCTCGCCAGCCCGGCCTGCTAGGGCCTGCCTGCCAGCGCGCCAGTGCCCCCTCCCCGGCGCCCCACCCTTCTTGCTCATGGTTGGTTCTACAGCACTTCGCGGTACTTATACTGGGGTTTCAGGAGGGAGGGAGGGGCGCCGCGCCATGGCGCTACGCTATGGCGCCTGCGCTGTATTATGTGGCCCCTTCTTGCGCGCGACATATTCGTGTTGATGATTCCGACGCCAGATTAGGCCGAGGTGCGTGCTAATTATTGCTGGCTGCATTTTTGCTGGTGGAGCGCACCTCCGTAGTAGTGACTTAGAATGACGACTGCAAGGAACACTTTTCAGGTTGACTCGAAAAACTCAAAAACATTTTAAGTAGTACTACGAAGCAATCGATGCAAATTTATTTCTCTCTTTGTGCCATGCATTTAAAACAACTGATTTCTTTGTTATTCAAAATTCAAAGGAGTCTGTGTGAGATCCAAGTTTCCTTTGTTGGCAATGTACTTTTACCAATTTCTTCGGCTTCTTTGAACGTATTTTTAATTTAAGAAAATAAACTGACTGTTTGACTGACTGTGAAAAGGACCTGTAACGGTCCTTAAGTTACGAAAACGATGTAACGGTAACCGTCTCGCTCTATGTCTGCTGGTCGGCAAAGCGCAACATCATACTGACGATCATGCTCCCCAAAGCCTGTTCATGGACACACTCCCCCTCCCGGGGTAATCTGCGAACGCGCCACGTTTCCTTTTTTGGCGACAAAGCTGTCCCTGTCCCCGCGCGGCCTCGCCACCTGGACGCCCTGCGGGGGGCGGGGGAGGCTCGCGGTGGGGCTTGTGGCGCTTGCGGTGTGGGGCCTGCTGCCAAACCACACCGGCCCGGCCAGCCGAACTGGGCCAAGCGCCGCCAGAGCGCCGCCAGCCAAGCGGCTCCTTGCATCACGACAATTTGGCGCGGCCTTGCCGGGAATGGCTTGTTGATCAGCGCGATAACTCGCACCCACCTGAGTCTCGGCCCCCAGCAACTCTATCTCCCCTCCTCTCTCCCGCTCCCGGCGGCGCGCATTCGCTCTTCATTACTCGACGAGGTATCGGCCAAGGAATTGTGTGAGGGGCTTAACGCTGCGAGATGATCGTCTCCCCCCTCCAAGGCGCCTCCAGCCTGCGCGGCCTCAGCCAATCAGAGCGCCGCCCTTGCAGCCATCACCGTGATTAGACTTAATCAAATTAGACGCGAGGCACGGCCGCCGAGCCACTTCGAAAATAAACAAAAGCGCTGCTGTGTTCTGTCCGTGACAAATCGCTCGTTCTTTTTCTATTGTTTGAAAAAATAAAATAAAAATGAAATGAGAACGATGAGTGATATTTCAACACGTGCGCGGTATCAGAAAAATCGAGTTGACGTAAAACAGAAACAAGAGCCTTTGGTGGGGTGGGCGAAGGGGTGGGGCTGAAGAGCATCGTTTTGTTGTTGTTTGTTTGTACCGCGCATGCACGCGGAGCGCAGACGGAAAGAATAAAGAGACATAAATCAGGGTGGCACAATCGCTAGAGTGCGACAGAGAGCGAGCGCGGGGTGGGGCCCCTTTGGGGTGTGCCGCCGCGCCGGGCGTCTTGTCTAGGACAGCAGCATTGGTGTATAGTGTTCGGCAATGTTTCAGTGGCTGGCGGCAATGTGGGAGGCGTGGACAAGGACGGCAAGAAGAAGCACACGCGACCCACCTTCTCCGGGCAGCAGATCTTCGCGCTGGAGAAGACCTTCGAGCAGACCAAGTACCTGGCGGGACCTGAGAGGGCCAAACTAGCCTACGCCCTGGGCATGACGGAGTCACAAGTCAAGGTGAGCTCACACTGTTTCCCGCATGCTTCCCCGCCACACCCTTCCCCTATTTTCATATCGGGATTCTTCCTTATGTCACGTGTCAATGTCGCAGAGGCTTCATTTTTCTCATGTATGCAAATTCAAAACGTGACAGGGTAGCTGGTGGCTGAAGGGAGAAGTTACTAGAAAATGGCAGCGGCGGCAATGGCGGGCTGGGAACACACACACACGCACACACATTTGCATAGCGATCGCCATTCCGGCGCGCGCTTGATTGACATGTGAATGGAAGGGAACCCTTTGCGGCGTTCGCCGGGAGGAGGGCGCGGTGGGGCAGTTTGCCCGGAGATTTAAATGCAAGTCGCGTTTCTTCCGATTGGGGTCCGGATCGGCTGGGCCGCCGAAGGCCACGGCTCTGTCAGGCCATCCTGCTCCTTCAATTGGTGGAGAGGAGTACGCCAGCCTGGCGAAAAGTACGGCAACGCCATGACCGACGACCCCCTGGCCGCACCCGGAGTTCCGTCCGAGACTGTACCGCGGCACACACGGGCTGTTTAATCAAATAAAACGCTCTACTAAACGCCGCATTAGCATACTGGACGGAGCGGTGGGGTAGTAGCAGCAGCCCCGCCCCGGCAATCATAAAAAGGGCGATCACAATAATAGTGTTGCCCAGCAATAACGAAATATCGCCTTATGACAAAAGAGCAGTCAGTCGCCAGTGAAGAGCGCGACACTGTTCGTTCCTTTTTTTCGTGGCTCCTCCCTTTTTTTGGCAGAGTATTCGACTCTGCGATTGGACGCGTGACGCGGTGTCATCCGTCAGAGTGACGTCACGGCAGCCTTTCCCACGGCTCGCTAGCGGGGAAACGAGCCGGAAAATTTACAGCGCCGAAAAGACGGACGGCCATTTAAGGAACGATTAGTAAAATTGGGTCGAAGGTGTGACAGGCGGTGGACGCGTCGCGCGATCTGGAAGGCGGCGAAAACGGTGATAGATATTCATCCCGACAGTGTGTTCCTTACAGACAAGTCGGCGGGACCAGCGGGGGGAAAAAGGCAAACGCAAGTGGGGGAAACGAAGAAACAAACAAAATATTGGGGCGCTGCACGGCGCTGCAGAGTCCGAGGGCGAACGGTATCCATGGAGATATTGACAAATAGAGTTATCGAAAGCACGCGCGGCGCGTAAGATCAGCATGCCGGATCAAGGGAAGGCCGCGCAGCCGCGCACGGCACGCGGGAAGGAGAGGAGGGAGAGAAGGAACGGCAGTGCAGCAAGCCGCGCCGAGGCACACTAGGATAAACCTCACAAGATAGGCATTAGGGAAAAGAAGTCATAACAGCGTATTTTGAGCTTTCTTCAAAATTTACGAACTATTTCTTTGAAAATAAAAAACTGAATAGCCGATACTGCATCCTGCTTCTCTGATTGGGCGTGCGTGCCGAGCGACAAGGACGCTTGGACGAGGCCGTTACGTGATTCGTGGACGGCCCCTCTCGGGTCCTGATTGGCCTCCCGGCATTACTGTTTATCTCAATTCTTATTCTCCGGGCCGGGCGCCATTTTGGCCAATAGCGGAGCCATCGGGCCGAGGCGGCCGCCAAGGCGCGGTGGGGGCGTGGCGGGGCGGGGCGGGGCGGGGCGGGGCGGGGCGCCTCCAGCCTCGCGCTGCTTGCCGCCCATTCGCATGCAGGGAAGGCCCCGGCCCGCTCCGCCGGCTCGGCCCGCCGACACGGCCGATCCGTGTTCACACACGGCGCCAAACACGTCAATGTCACAATTTTTTTTTTTGGCGCCGAACCCTTTTCGCCCGCAAACGGCTTCACCCCGCGCAAGGCAAGCCGCGCGCTAACAGTCGTAAACGCAGAATCTCTCCGTCCTCCTTCCTCCCGCAACAATTTGCCGGAGGAGGCAGTGCCGCCAACGCCGCAGCACTGTGAGCGCGCCAGTTTGCTTTGACCATCGTGCAGGTGTTGGTAGCGCTGCTTGAAAAAAAAGAGATGTCTTAAAAAATCTTTATATCTGGAACTTTGTAGAATCTCAACAACTTTTCCCGTCAAGTGTCAAGTGTCAAGTCAAGTGTCAAGATTTTTATCAGATAATACAGCTTGAGACGTAATTAAAAATAGAGAAAAAATAAGAATTATATTTTTAGCTTTTTCTTTTTACTTACCTTTTATTTTGAACTGTCTACGTCTATTCACCTTCTCGGAGTTGGGCCCTCCCCTCCGGAGGGACCTTTGCCATTATTTTAGTTAAGAGAGTTACATTTCACGTTTTACATTCGACATCTTCGGAGCGCTACCAACACCGCGCCGCCAACATTGTAGTGGTCCGTCCGTCCATCGCGAGATTGGCGCTTCGCGAAGCTTTCGCGCTGCTTGGCGTATCGCAGTGCTGCCAACAGCGCTATAAAGCGATCCAGTGCGCTGCTGTGCGCTGCGCTGTGCTCGGCCGCGCTATGCGTTATGCGTGATAAGGCACGCCTTACAGTGGCTCGAATCCGACCCGCTTTACGGCGCTACAAAAGCAAACGTTTATTGGTCCGAACGTCGGAAGGCCCCGGAAGACCCCGGAGGGCCGTGCGCCGCGCGTGCGTGCGGCGTGCGTGTGGTGTGCGGCCATCAACGGCATCAAAACGCAGCGAGCTCTGTACCTTGCGGCCGTTACCGCGTGGATCCGGGCATCGCGCCGACAGCCCAGCGAATTCAGCTACGGCGATCGGTTTGTCGCTCTGCCTTCCCCGCACCCTCAAGGAGAACCCCACGAGCGCGACAGAGACAGAGCGACAGCGCGGCTCTTCCGAATCCGAATCGCTCGCGACAGCCTTCCGAAAACAAAGGCGAGCGCGCTGCTTCGATCCCGAAGCCGCCCGCCGAGCCGCCGCCTCGCCTTCGGCTCCTTCGGCTTCCGCCTTTCGAGGCAGATTCATATTCAAATGAAGTGCGACTCGGGGATGTAACGACCGGTATAACTTCTAGTGGCAGCAAATTGCCGGCGAGGACGACGAGGAGGTGGGGGTTGGAGAGGGGGAGGAGGAGATGAAGCAGGACAATAAAGGGACGCGCCATGCGTCGGCTGCGGTCCCTGGTAATAAGCAGGGATGAGAATTTCAGCGCCGCGCGTCCGAAGACTCGAGGGACTTCTGCAGTCCACGCGGCGGTGGCGCGGCAGGGCATCGCGCCGGGACTCAAAGGGGCGCTGCGTCTGGCTGCGTGCAGTACGATTCGAGGATGATGATACCGCCCTGCTTGTTGTCGGACACGTTCGGCCCGCATAAAAACACCGGCAGCGCGCTCGGCGTGTGACGGGGCTTTGCGCGCCGCACCGCCCCGCAGTACAGCGTGATGGTGCAGGAACCGCATTGAGGCGCGCAGTAAAGGCAGGCATGTGGCGGATAAAGATGAAGCCCCCTCGCGTTGCCTCGCCGCGGCACCAGAGCGCGCCGAAAGACGGTCGTCACAGCCACTGTAAAGGCTGAATGAGGCCCTCGATGACTGCGACGCTACAGTTACTCCGCGCGCACGTCTGCAGGCTGACGATGCCTCTCTCGTACCCACGGGGCGTGCCACAGCGAGAGAGACAGAACCACGATGCGCAGTTAGAAATCGGACTGGCGAGGCGTGGGCGGGGCGGGGCGGGGCAGGGCGCGGCGGGGTGCGGCGACCCAATGCGGCCGATCGGGTGGCCCCGGCGCCATAGCTAAAATATTGAAATATTGTCCGAACCCGCAAATAAATCAGGAGGGATATTTTGACGTGCCGGGCGTGATGGCCGGGATGTTGTTTTATAGCCTGTCGATTTTTCCCGCGGCCGCGTGTCGCCGGGGAAAGCTTTTAGTGGACAAATCGATTTGTTTGTTTGCATTGGTCCGCCGGGTCGCGGCCGCCGCGGCGGGCGCTGGCCAGGTGATGGATCACGGTGCCCCACGCCCCGGGCCGGGGCAGCCGGGCCCGGCCGACAGTCGCTAAAACGCCACCACACTAAAAATGGCGGGCCAATTTATTGACACAGATACGTCGCTCGGATGCGATCGCGGCTCGGCTGAGCTATAAATTTCTCATCCCCGCCGCGCCGGATCTAAGAAAGTGGTCGTCGGCGCGCCGCAGCAGCCGGCGGCTGCGACTCCGTCGTCGTGTGAAAATTCCGCTTCGGCTCTGTTCCGAGGCACTTTTTCAAACTCTCTTGTCCGTTTCTTTATCATTCTACATTTCTCGCGCCCCGTCCCCATAGGCCCCGTCGGCCCCGTCCGTGTATTTCGCTGCTATAAAGTTCGCCCCTTTATATTTGCGATTTGCATCTTTATTGGAGCGTTCTCCTCCAATCCGCCGCGCAATCGATGTCACTCCGCCGCTCCGCCTCTCCCGTTTCCCTAATTTCGCGGCGTCCTCGCGCCGACACGGCTTCCGATAACACACATTCGGAAAAAAAAGGTGAAACAAAAATTTCGAAGAGCACGAGGTCCTGTTGATTTTGGTTCTCGTTTTTCTCCCGTTCTCCGTCAAAATGTGGCCATAATCGGGCAATCTGGGCGTGTTGCGGCGTGCTGGTGTCGCCGGCCAATCAGCGAAACACTTGTACCTATTCACCTGGCGCCGCTCTTCATCCATCATCCCCCTCCTTGTCTCCCTCCCTCCTTCATTTTTCTCTTCATCCCTCTAGGCCGCCCTAGGCCGCCCTAGGCCCCACACGACAAGACACGTCCTCCCTTTTTTTCCACTTCTTTTTGTCCGCGCCTCGCTCCCCCCGCTGTCTGCGCGTATTTCCATTTTTATAGAAAGCCTCGCCGTTTGGGATTTACATGGAGAGAGTTACACGGGCGTCTACAGTCAGGTGCGGCGCCGAGGGGGTGGGGCGGCGGGCAACGACAATCGCCTCGTTCATTCTGCATTCCTTCATTGTTCTTGATTCATTTGTTCCTTTAACTTTTATTCATTCTTTCATTTATTTGACCATTCATTCATTTGGTCGTTCATTGATTTGTTCATTCTATTATTTGGCCACTCTTTCATTT